ATAGCAATACACATTTAACAACTGTTACTTTTTTCCCTACCACCATGATGTGAAAGAAAGAATGACATGGAATGGTGAGTCGACAACCCCAGATTCTAGCAGTGGCTGTTCAGTTTATTAGTTGTGGTATTGGACTCTTTAGCCTTGGTTTCCTCTTCAATAAAAATGAGAGGTTGATTGTCTTTTAGGTTTCTTCTAACTTGATGAATTTATGATTATTCATATATTTTTTGGATTCTATTCTAACCCTAAATTTAGAAAAAGTTATATTTGTTACCCAAGAAGCACTGATTTCCACACAGTGTTGGCATCAATACTCTCATGCTCTTATATAAGAAAGAGAGTCAGCAAGTTCTGCACCCTGTTTCTTGGGAGAACAAAGGAAGGTGCTGTGCGTAAATCTGTGGAAGGCATTCCACTTCCACGCAACCGTGATACGACTCCCTGAAATGCATTTTATCATGGGCTAGGCTTAACACTTCTGGACTTCAGAGCCAGCTCACAGGCATTCCACATTCGGCCCGTAGGCCCTCACAGGGACTTCTGTATTTGAACTGCTGCCTGGAGGTGCTTGCCAACAGGTGAGGGACATTGCTATCTAAGCCCAGGGACATTTGTGGGCCAGGTCCTGGCCCCAGATGAGGAGTCGTTGAATTCAAACTGACAGATGTAGGGGGTTCCTGAGAGAATAAATGGATGTTTGTAGCCTGTGAGTTTTTCTCCCTTATTGTGGATACCCTTATTTTTAAAATTTTGGAAACTGGTGGTATAAACAGGTGGAAAATAGAGAATGTCAGTTCTCACTAATGGTTGTGCACAAGAATTCCATCCATGATGATTAAAACTCTAAGTTAGAAGTTTTTGAGGACTTGTGGAGATCTAGCTGAGGAAGACTGGCCATGTCAAAATAATGTCTCCACAATTTCAAAGACAGGATAAAGGTGGATTCTGAAAGACGCAATGGACTTGCAAAGTTGGATGGACCACTGAACAGATTCTTTGTACTTAGCAAAAGGAAGCATGATCTCTAGGAACTGGGGTAAATGCCCTAGAAATTAGTTTATTTTTATGGCTAATAGAGTCATATATTGGTTGGAATATTTCATGTTATCCTTGTGGATAAGTTGTAGAAGTGTGGGTGAGACTGTAGTAGTCAAATGAATTTATGTGTATTGAATAGTGACATCAACAAGCACCAGCTTTTACAAGATGCTGGAGGACCTGGAAAACATGGTGATAGAATTGGAAATATTTAGTCTGGAAAAGAAAAAAGTTTCTTATTGTTCCCCCTTGGAAGGGGTAGGCAGAGCAGCTATCCCTTCTGAGCTATGTGTTGAATATTTTTAACAGCTCTATCACTGAAGAGGAATTAGACATTCTTTATATCTCAAGTAGGACAATTTGGGACCATGGAGGCAGAATTTTCTTAACAGAAGGAAAAATGTTTCTGTCAATGAGTTTAACGGAAAGGACTGTCTTTTGAGGGAGCAAATACACTTTCCTGCCAAGTTCCAGCAGAGGCTGCTCGCCTGTCTTGGGCATTGCCTAGCAGTTGCTTCCATTGACAAGGAAGTTGGGCAAGATAATTTCTTCTGGTCCTTTATAAACTTTTAGATGCTGAGATAATGTTAAAGAGAGTAAGTTAATGGTCAGAAAGCAAAAGAACATCTTCCCCTCTGTCGTCATGACGAAAGGAGCATATTCTGTTTTGTCACACAGAAAAGGTTTATGTTCCTAGGTGTCCTGCATTCCCAGATGAACCAGGAATGAGCAAGTCTTCTCAAAGCCATGAATAACAAGTATTTCCTGAAAGCATTACAGCAAGATAAAAGCCACTAGAAAAGAGCAACGTTTTGTTTTTCTTTACTCAAAAGACAAAAATGTTTCTCAAATATATCCAGTCCAATCCAATCAGAATTTTGACCACCATGTAATAATTTGAACCACAAATAATTTGAACCAAAAATTTTCTCTCATATTCTAGTAGCAGTTTGTCTCAAAACTAGATACCTTTTCAAAGATAAGTAAATATTTTCTTCATGTCCAAAGTTATCCATGAATTTTCCTTTTCTTTCACACTCAGATTGTTGAAGGTCAGGATTCTTAGAAGTTGGTAGATTTTGAACTCTTTTGACTATGTAGCCTACATTAAGAAATACATTTTATACCACTTCCTAGGATCATATATGCATTATAACTGAAATTGAATATTTGAGAAATAACACTTAGACCTACCCACTAGTATAATACTCTGACATTTTCAATTCAATTCATTAATAGTTAAATACTGTTCATGCCCCATTAATTTCACAGAATTTTCAGGTTGAAAAGCAACGCTCTAATGAATAGTCTCTGAAAACTCAAATAATGGCAGAATAAATGAGAGAATTTAGATCTTGTCACATAGGACATTTGGTAAACTTGCTACAGAAAGAGAATTTTTTGCATACGTATTGTATGGAAAGTCCTGAGATTCGCGATATATTCACACAGTCCTCTTTCTATCTTTTCTGCCCCTCTCCCCTCTTCCCACAGAAAACCACACACTTTGGCAGCAGCCTCTTGAAAGACTAAAGAGGAGATACATAGATAGACTGTGTTCATTCTGTGAATCTTACGGCTTGACATCCAGAGAAGCAAATTTTAGCCCAAAGCATGTCGTTTACAAGCACTTTCAGGTGACTGCCGTGGTAACGGGATCGCGGAAGCGCTGCTCAGAGCTGTTCGGGTAACCATTCTTTTATTAGCAGGAAGGCAAATGCAGTTTTTAAGATCAAAGTGGACACCTCTAGGAAGTTACATTTATTACAAAAAGCTAAAACGTCCACATTCCCAGGAATCAAAGGGACTTAAAGCAGAAGGATGGTAACATGCAGTAGATGAATGCAATCTTTGACAGGACAGCAACCACCTAAGTAGGTGACAGGAGCAGGAGGTAATCTCGTTCTGAAAGTTACCAGTTCTGCCAGGTCTGGGGTTAAGTGAGGTGCCACAGCCCTGGTCTGCCTGACAAACATTCCCACGGACAGTGCAGGCACTGAGACTACTTTTACAATTTTTTATGCTTTTATAGTTTTCACCATTGAAGATTCCCTTGGCAGCATTTTGATCCCACTGTTTCAGAAAGCGCCCCCTGCTGTCGCAGCATGAGTATCGTAAACGGTCGTTATAACTGCAGTATTTGGACAGCCACCATGGATGAAATCTAGCCCCTAAAACATGGTGACCTCGGATAGCAGCAGCCAAACTGTGGCTCTTCTACGAGCGTGGGCGGCCACCTAACGACAGCTATACTTGTCATTTAGGGCTCTTGTGTACTCCCCACCACCCGCACACTTTTTATTTTTAGCATTTGAGACAGTTTTTTGTTTTATTTTCTTCCTCTTATCTATTTTTTAAGTTGACAAATAGAAATTGATTGTATATATTATATTTATGGCACACAACATGACGCTTTGAAATATGTACACATCATGGAATGGCTAAATCAAGCTAGTCGCCAGATGTGTTATCTCACACACTCATTATTTGTCCCAGCTTAATAAGCCCTTTGTCACGATGTGCAGAAGGTTACTGTCATGGAAGTATGAAGAGCATCTCTCATCTGGGCCCACTTCAAATGCTTCCTAGAAACTCCTTTGCTGAGATTCCTAAAAAACTTTTCTGGAAGTTTTGAATATCTAGGAAATTTTGGCCAAACATTTGGGGAAGTAACAAAGGTCTTTCATTTTACTTTTTTTTTTCAAAAACTCTCCCATAAGTTGAGGGTCTAAAGAGGCCTACCTCCAGAAGAGTTCTGGGTGTGTAATGAAGATGCTTCATTTTACAAAATAAATGACTTCTCTCCCATTTTATCAGGCCAATGTCTATCAAAACCCCTTCTGATCCCCCAGGAGTTCAGCCTTCCAGAGACTAGAACTTGAAGAAACGTTTTCCTGATCGTTATGAAATGTTTACTGTAATTTAAAGTGTTAGTGTCACAGAAGTGGTTTTTGTACTCAGTAGCTTCTTTACAGCAAACTTTTATGGCCCATATTATTGATGAAAAGGCAGTATTATTTTAATGCATTTTAAATGGACTCTTACAGAGTGTGCAAAGCCTTGATCACAGACATTTTTCTTGTACTAAGAAAAAAATATAAATATATACAATAGTCTCAAAATTGTAAAGGTTTTAATGAGATCAAAGGGTGCAATATGAGGAATAGATACTAGTATGCCCTGGGCAATCTCTGGGCTAACTGTTGGAAAAAGTTTACCATTCACCATTAGTGGTACTGATAGTTTGTCAACATGAACCATATTTCTTTCTTTATTTTTTTCTATTTCTTGAAATGCACAGTTCTCATGTCCATACTGAAAGAAGAGGATTTAGTTTGGTGGAAATTAATCAATAGATTATTGTTATATATTCTGCTCTGTGTAGTACGTACTTAAGGTAGGGGCAGAGTTATTAAAAATTATGTGCTCTGGATGTATCATTTTGATTGACTTCCCCAAGTTGAAGTTATGGGAGCACCTGCTCAGGAGCACTGCCCTCCATCATAGATAGTTCCCAACAGGAGGCAGGAGATAGGCTGAGTACTGGTTCATAGTCTATGTCAATCTCCAATAAAAGAAAAATAACAGAGTTAATTTCAGTAACTCTTTAAGGAGAAGTAAAAAGAACAGAAAGAACTGAGAATAAGAACAGAGCATCTGAAAGGGCACATGCCTTCCTTCTCCATGTACTTTCTGTTAATGACGCATTTTCCTGATCTTTATCTGCACGCTTTCTCTCCCGCCTAGCAAAGTTGGAGAAGGGATGGTCCAAGTATTCGGCACAGCTTGCAGTTTTCTACAGCTTGTAGGTCTGACCTTTCTCTGGCGTTTTGCATGTTGTTGCCACCTGTTTTATCCCATTTGTTAAAGATAACTTTCCTCATGGGACCCAGGCTTGATGCACCTCGAAGGAGTTACCTGCCCTCTCTCCCTCGGCCCCTCCCTCGGCTGCTACTCACTCAAAAGGGTCGCTGGGATCTGCCCTCTGCAGCTCTGGAGGGATGGGGATTCTTTTGTAGTACATTTCCCAGTCGAAGGCTCCTCGCATGGCATCCCCAGCTTGGGCCTCATACCCAAAGTGATTGTGGTCAATGACATCGATCATGGGACACACGATGGTTTTGTGGTTTAGTGCAATTTGGTCTGAAAAATGAAAGCACAAAATAGGAAATGACATGCCTGCCTAGGTCATCTGTCATTTTCAGCAAAGAGAAGCCTGCAGTTCCCTGCTAATGCATCACGCTCGCAGCCTCGCTCCCTCTCATTCTTTCAGCACTTCGCGGGAATCTCTGTTCGAGTGCTGGACTTAACGTGATGGGACAGTGATTAGGTACAATCAGAGTTGCTGCATTTGCCTTTAAGAAAGTTACGTCCCAGAGAGACTTGCAGAAGTCCATTTAGCTCTCCCTCTGTCACATTTTTGCTTTGACCTGTCCCCAATCTGTCATTTTATCATGCATCCAACATGCGCAGAGTATACACAGTATTTGTGTTCCTTCGAGCATATAGCCACCGCCTGCTGAGAAAATACTGGCCTGCTTTCTGAGGGTTCCAAGATGTAAATATTTAACTTCATGGTTTTTGTGGCATCTAATCTTGTAACAGCCATGATGGCTGTCCCCCCCGAAATGTGACAGACCATGCATAGAATTCTTTGCTTTGAGGTTTGCCAGAGATTTTGCCAAGTCTTATTTGATCTTCGAGATAGATTCTGTTTGTCAAAGCTGTACATTTTTATCCTCCTCCATCATATCCAAAAAGTGTTAGGTGGTATGATACTACTGCTATTACTCCTTCTACTGTTAAATTCTTGAGCAGCTACAGCTACTAAGTTATTTATACTCATGCTATTTCTAATACTCTGAGCAACCCTGTAGGATGCCTATTATTGACATCCCCAATTTGTGTGTGAAGAAGCTGAGCTCAGAGAAGTTAAATAACTTGTCAAGGGTTACGCAGCTTTTGAGAGCAATAACCAAGATGCAAGCCTGCTCAGGAGTCCAATCCCCAAACCTAGCCTTTCCATGGCGCTTCTCCTGGTAGCAGAGGGGTGACTTCTTTTTTCGGTTTCAGCACCTTCCTTTCCCAAGCAGGTAGTGCTATTGTGCTAGCCTTAGCAGCCAGTGCAGGGAACTGGCGTTTGCATACTTTGGTTCACCTAGAACAGTGATCTGTGAAGTATTTTTCTTTCCAAGAATGTGAATTTAAGCAATATTTATTATAAAAAGCCAACACTGTCAAACAGGCAGAACTTTGAAGTACGAACACCTGCTCTCATCATCTGGAAGACCTTTGGATGCGGCATGCAACACTAAATCAAGAAACAACAGAGATGATTTAGAACTATTCTGAAGTTTGGTTGTTTCTGTATCACACTTTCTCCAGGGGTCCTGGAGTAAACATCATATGTGCTGGGGTAAAGTTCTTACAATAAGGAAACTGTCTATTTTCTCCAGAAGTTTCTCCTAATCGGGGGGCAGGAAGCACAAGGTTTTCTCAGCTGGAATAACAGTGGCTTTATTCTGATAACACAGGGTGTGGAAACCAAAGGGTCCTGTGGAATATTTCGCCTCTAGCCCTATATGCCTTTTCATTCATTCATTTGTCCTTTTCCTCTTTCAACAATGACATTTTTTATTGATTAGAAACTCTGTGCTGGTCACTTTTTCTAGGTTCTGGGGACACAGCAGTGACTAACACCACAAAAAATCCCGGTCTTCAGGAATGAAGCAAAGACAATTAAGAAACATAGTAAATAACTAAATTATATAATGTTTTAGAAGGTGATAAATGAAATGGAAAAAAATCAAACAGGGTAAGGGGATGCAGGATACCGGGGCGTGGAAGGGGTTGCAACCTTAGATGGCGCAGCCCCAGTGAGCCTCGGAGGTCCCGAGGTGGCCTTTCCCGTATCCCAGCTGACTAGTGGACAGAGACCCCCCTCCCTTCGCTATTTCCAGTTAATCTCCACCAAGGACTCTCTGAGCATCCGCTTTCACCTGGGCAAGTCTTATAATGGGGTTTAATCTTTATCCAAATGGTGTTTTCCCAGAGATGTCTTTGACATATGAGACCATTGCCGCCGTGTCCAAAATATTTCTGCTGTCACCCCTGCAGGTCTTTTAGTATTAAGGTTTCAGTGACTTTCTTCAATCAAATTTAGAATCAGGTTTGATTTACAAGTTCCTTGACCAACAAAGGGTCCCAAGGTGACCCAAAGAGGATGTGTCTGTTAAATTAACTGTCAACTTTCCCTTCAGATTTCCTTTCAGCTCTCATCCCGCTGCACTAGCTTAGGGTGAGAGCAGCATGATGAATTTTTCATCCAAGGCTTGTGCCTACATTTCAATTTCCAGGGATCAAACAAACAGACTCTTAATGGGAAATTGAAATTCAGGTATAATCCCAAGGTGAAAAATGAACCAAGAGACTGTGTGGCTCCACCTGTTTTTTTTCATTCTGGATGATGTATCAAGACACTGATAGAGGAAAATAAGAAAAGATAGTGATCCCATGCTTGGATCATTTCTTAGCTATCAGGCCTATGGGAAATGAAATGCTTTAATGAGAAAAAGTGGGTTGTGGGTTTCTCTTATTCTCTTTTTCTTTTTTCCTGTTTTTCTTCTAGTGTTTTGTTAGACACACGGTGAACAATCAGAGACTCGATAATTGGCATTTAGGGATTGCTTTGGTTCATAAATAAATTAGACCTTTTGCTGACTTCCTTGAGTATTCAGCACCATATAGGTCAAATTCAGTTTGTGGAATCTCACCGTTGCTGATGAAGCTCTAAATTGCTATGTCCTTGGACAAGGTACTTTTAATTAAAAGCTCAGAGGAGTCCGACTGTAGGAACACTGAAACAGCCCGTAGATTAGGATGGCTGGGCAGTCCTCTGTGTGGGGGTCTGTGGTGATGTGGTGGGGGGTCTTAGATGCTGGTTGTTTCCTTTTTTAAATCCTATACAGTTTCAATTGATCCCCCCCCCCCCCCGCCATCTTTTACTAATGGAGCTTTGCTGAAATCCTACACAGTAGTCAATAGCAAATCGTTCTTTCCGAGGCAGCTACTGTGAAGGCAGTTGTTAGTGGCTTTATTTCCAAGGCCAGGGATGTATTTACAACAAAAGTTGATTATCAAAATCTGGAAGATTAGAAAGGAGTACAATATGTGTACAACAAGAACTTCTTAGAAAGAGATTTTTTTCAGGCTCACAATTTATTTCTTATCCACAACTGGACTTTATATCTGACTTCACTGTAAAATAAAAAGCAAAAATAGTGAAGCTTGAACTGAGTCACGCATATGCCTTCTAGCTTGAATTACTTCCCGTTTTGTGTTTCTAACAGTTCAAGCGCAGTCTGACATAGCCTTCTTGTTTCTCTCTTCGTTTTATCATGAACATTTAAGATATATCACCTGGGTAGCAGCTCTGAGTGTCTGAGAGGGTCTCTGTATAATGAATATGGGGTGGGGGTTGTATATTTAGGGATAGTCTGATGCCAGAAGTAGAAAGAATAACAAAAAAAGAAATGGCATGATAAATCCTAGAAAATGTCAAGGTGTTTACATCTTAACTGTATTCTGGGGCTGAATAATTTTCCTTCCTCATGTCTTAACAACCATGTAATACTTGCTAAATGTGTGTGCATATTTTAGTCTTATTGTAGTTACAGAACGACGATAAAAAAGAATTTGGGGGTCCTTTTTTCTTTTAGTGTTTACCCAGTGAATAAGACTACAAAAAAGGAAAACGTCTAAGATAAATGAAACCTTTTTACACCTTAAGTTAGATTGCAGTTGACATTATCTAAAATGTCAATTTTAATGTAGTTTTCTAGTTACTGCTGTCCTCAGCAGTGGTTAAGATATTCTGGTTCTAATAACTCTCATACTAATTCAAGGCTTCCGCTGGAAAAATTGTGGGAAGGACTGCTAGTCCTTGCGGATTGCAAACTCCGTGGACGCGGGTGCGCGCCCTCCAGAACCGCGGCCGCGCCGGGCCCTCCGGGGACGCGGACTCACCGAGCAGCGGCGGCAGCCAGTTCACGTTGACCTCGCAGTGGGAGTCCAGGAACGTCAGGACCTCGCCTCTCGCCATCGACGCCCCCAGGAGTCGGGTGCGGATGAGCCCTTCCCTTTTCTTGGTGCGAACAATCCTGACCTTGGAAAATCGGGCCATGTATTCTTCTAACTTATCCTTCAGGTGATCTAGGAAGCAAGTTAGGGGATGCACAGAAAGAACGCAAAACGTTAGTTGCCGCGCAATAGTCACGGTCGTTTGTGCACAGTGACTGCGCGGATAATGCCGGATCCCAGCGGAAGGCGCTGGAAGACCGTGTTTCTCCTTTCTTCACGTAGAGGGGAGACACTAAGAAGATTGTATGCCTCGAGGTTTTTAGACTTTATACTTTCCAGAATGCTTCAGAGACGGCCCCTAGTTTGAACACGGGAGAAGTCACTGACGCCCCGGGCTCCGGCAGGCAAGGCGGGCCTCGGCCTGTGCCGCCCGCGGGGGCAGCTCAGCCGCGCACCCTGGCGTGGGCTCTCCCTCCAAGCAGAGGTTGGTTGACGGCAAGGCTTTGCCTCGTGTTCTGTGTGCTGGAGACAATGCACGCCAAACAACGGCGAAGAAAAGTACCTGTCACATCAGCCAGAACCAAACAGATTTCCACCCCCCACAAGGTAACACCGAACTGCTAAGGAAGTTCAGCGTCTGGCTTCTGATTTGCAGCAGAAAGGTGACTGACTCGGGGTTAAAATAGATACGGAAAGGGCAAGGCAGAGAAAATACTATACAGTCATTTTGAACTTAGGTATTTAAGATTTGAAAATATTTTTTAGCTGTTTAAATTTGGAAATGTTTCCCTCCCTAATTAAAAACAAACAGTGGGGAAAAATCACATAACTTACTCAAAGAATAAAACATTTCCCACAGGCTGTGATAAAATGCATCAGTCTCTTAGTTCTTTTTATGCCAAATAAGAGCATTTGGTGACTTTCTGTGGGATATGTACGTGTACATTTTACCTGTTCTGCTTTCACTCTCCCATATCTAAGACATTACCAGGGCTTGCTTGGAATTTCTGAGGAGTGCAGCCCAATACTCATTGAAATGGAATCTGAATGTGCAGTGGGCTCTGTGTTTTTCGCTTTTCAAACTTTCTCTGCATGTCTGTAATCAAGGGCAATATTGTTATTAAGTCTCTTCTCATGATCCTTAGCAATAGAGATTCATGCAGGATTTATGATTCCTTCCTGCTATCCAATTTAACAGATGTCAGATTACTTCGTATTGGAGTTTCTCTGTACATAAGGGTTTATTCTTATTCTTAGTTCTTACTGTCAATGTAGTTTTAAAAAATCTTAATTTCCTTTTTTCTTGACATCTCTATATGTTTTACAAATGTGTTAATTAAAATAATATTTAGATTTCTAATTTTCACGGTAAAAAAATAGAGGTGGGGATTTTCACAAGAGTGTTTTAGCTCAAAATATATTTCCCTCTATTTTGTTCTTCCTGTAACAAACAGAGATATAGACATCAAAATATGGAAAGCAAAGATTCCAGGATCTGGAATCAGTATACATTTGGGAAGGAGATTTGTAACAGTGAGGTATATATATATGTAGGTAGGCTGTGCAAACTCTCTAAGCCTGAATTTCCTCACCTATAAATATAAGGGACTTGGGGGATTGGTTTGTCCTCTTAGAGTGTGGTGGACTGTCAAGCTTCTATTCAGGCGTTGGTTAGAGACGTGCCAGTGTTCATTCAACAAACATTTACGTATTTAGTCAATAATTGGAGACGCTAGTAAGTCACTTGTACTTATGAAGAGAAACTGCATATTTTTATCCGAAGAAAAGCCTTTGAATGTTAAACCTGAAAGACAAAAAATATAGAATTTCCTATTTCTTGGTGAGATGTTGATACTCTGGTATCTATTGCAAATATAAAGAAAAAATTTTGGCAAGCAATAAACTAACACATATGAGCATATAAGGAGTATCACAGTATCTCAAATGATCGGCTAGTTCTACAGCGTATCTCTTTGTTCTGGAACAGGTCTGCCGTGCACAGAGCCTGCTTCCTGTCCCCCCTCTTTGCTCCCTGCTCCCGGCCATGATGGCCTCAAGATTCTAAATGACTGTACAAGACAGCGTCACCTGTGAATAAAACTAGAGCTTTACTATCTTGTCAGGGAAACGAAACAGAAACAGTGGACACAGTCGCACAATCAGAGGCGATGACTGAGGCATAGTGATCAGTCTGAGAATGCTGTTATGTGTCAGAGTCCTGAAAGAGTCCTGTTCTGTAACGATTTCTCACAGTAATAAACAGTTAAGAAAACTTTATGATCTCATTACCGTAATTTATCTACGCTTGAAATCTTTCTGCATCTCTAATTTACAAACAAGCGGCATTCCATAAGTTTATCTCTAAATTGGATGTTTGGACCACAGAAGGTATTGTCTCATGGAAGTAGTGTTTCAACAGTCATTGGGACTAAAAGTAGATCACAAATATTTGTTAAGTCCACCAAAATCTTTAAACTTTATCGTTCGTTTGTCAAATGCACCACTACGGGTACCATCTCGGCAGTCCCAGGTGCATTTAATTCTCCCCTCATTGACCCCTGAGGACTAACGGAGCCTCTCCTGGAAGAGAGGAGAAGTAATTTTCTATAGCTGCCATAGAGGAAGTAATTCTAGAATATTCTCACTTCCCAGGTGTTCCAAAGTGAGAATCAAAGAGTGATCAGTCACCTGGGAGTGGTTGTCCCAACTTCAGATTTGGACTTCTCATTCTCTGGTTTATAGGAAACTCTCTGGAACTCAGCAAGGGCTGTCTCTACATGTTTTCTTTTCTTATGTGCACACTTTCTGATACTGCGTGCTTTTCTTATATCAAAGCCCATTTTAAGGTACTAAAATGATTGTATGGTGTGAATTCACTAAGCACAAGGGGTTTGACCCCCAATAGAGTCCACTAGATGTTCAGATCAAATCCTCTAGTTCTAACTTTATGGTGATAATTAGCTTGCTTTGCCTCAGACAATGATCTGGTTGACTGCACTTTGTGGGGTCTAGTCTCTTAGTAGTTCAGTTGTACCATCTAATTACCCATAACTCACCACAAAGGCAGGTATCATCAGTCTAATTAGCAAATTAAACTCTCAAACAGGGGAGTTACTGGAGATGGCTTTAAATTAAAAACATTTTGCCTTTCTTTTGTATGAACAATTTTTAGATTCATCTATAAATATTGTTAACATGATTTTAAACATGACTTTATATTATTTTTAATTCAAGCACAGAACCTTTGAAGACCACTTTTGAACTCATTTAATTCTAAATAACACCAAGAAAATTTATGGTATTTGTATAAAACAGGCAGATTTCCCTAGTGACTATGGGATATTTGTAGAACTGTTTTTTTGGTCAGTGGTCCTAGACGGCTAGAGCATATATTACTGCTTAAATCCCCTGAGTAGTATTTCCATGACTCAGAAGAGTGAACACAATTTCAAAAATACCAGTTTGTGCCAGGGTTTATTGTAGCACTGTGCGGTGATAATGAAGTGAAAAGTTGTACACAAAGGAAATGTTGCTATCCTATGCATGATACATTTAGCAGTTTTCTGGTATGTATTTTTCTCTTTTTTTCAGAAATTTCATTTATGCTTCATGAATTTATATGGAGAATATACCATACCTTAGTGAATTTAGTGTTTAGGGTAGCAACTAAATACTAAAAAAAAAATCACCTTCAGTGATTTGCATAGTCAGGAGTCAAAGACTTGAGTTCTAATTCTGCTCCTGCCTGGCCCTGTGGCATTGGGTAAGTCACGTCACACCATTCTACCTCGTTTTCCTCAGCTCTAAGGTGAAGGGAATGCGACAGCATGATCTGAAATATCCCTTCTAGCTTTATGATTCTACGACTTCCCTTGTGAAGTTTTACTTACCAAGTAGATATAGTCTTATCAAAAACTTAGTGTTTCCTAAGGGCATCATTAATGGTTGTTATTTTGGTGTTTTCTTTTGGCAGTGTCTCATTTTTGAAAGGTAGAGTCAAATCAAAATAAAGCTAACACATATCAGAGGTTTGGTCAAAAACAAACTGCAGGATGTTTTCTTTGGTCAATACGACACCTGTCTGATCTCCCGCGGTTCACCGTCTATAAGGCTGTCACTGATGTCAAAATAATGACTTTGGAGCACTGTAAGTTCATCAAAGATTTAAGTCTGTTCAATAAGTTATGCTTAATATGTCAGAAGTACACAGTAGCAGAGTTGAGAAAGCTTTCGAGTCTACCTATGAGAAATTGTCCCCAAGGGGGCAGGCGAGCTAGTGACCATCGGTATTACAGAGCCAGGCCGGGACATCCCCAGGGGAAGACCCACCTCAGGCCGGCGATCAGCCGCCCCAGGCTCAGCAGCTGACAGTGAGGCCCAGCAACTTGTTGCCAAGTTTTTTCCATCTCCTTTGAATTCCCTAATTAGCATCTCAAGGGGAGAACAGGAGGGGCCAGGAGACACGATTGATCTGGAGATATGGATTTCTATATTTAAGTACACACCTATGAAGATGAAATTCCTTTGATGTTTATACTTCGGTGTTCGCAGGTGCCTTCCTTGAGATCATATAGACTATGTGTCAGTTATTAGGAATGATGCTTAGTTATGAGTTATGAAATACAGTGGATTATAAATACAAAGAAACTGCATATCTTAAACTTTTCTGGGTAATCCTTATACAACAAGAATTTACTATTAAATGTGACACTAAGCATTCTAAGTAATTTGAAGTTTGACCACAGTGACAAGAGTACTTCACAATTAGAGAACATAAGATATTCTTCCATTTATTAATCTACTTGGCATATGTCATGTGTATATTTTGACCTAAAGTAGAAATTTTAAGGGTAACTGTCTACTTAACAGGGTCTGTGGAGACTTTTTTCTTTATTCTTTACACAAGAGAAAGATACAGATTTTAAGACTCTAGTTGAATTCCAGAAAATTGTCAATTTCTTTGTGTCTTGGCTGACCACACTGAATCTGTCCCTTTTGATGGCATTCAAATACAGACACTTCACATTTATCTCTAGAGCACAAAAAAACCCATCTAAGAAAGTAATAGAATTGATGAAACCGTGTTCAATTGCTTCTGTTATGATTTCAGCTTGTTCTATCTCTGGAT